TCGTTTTTGGCCTTGTGCCTGCATGAAAAGATTTAGCCATAACAGAGATATTTGCAGGGGAATAAATAGGAAATACTGGAGAAATCTCGGCTTTTAATGTTGTGCTCAGGAAAAGTTTTACATTCACGATGAAGGCAAACCGACCTATCAAATACTGGACTTAAAACAAAGCCAACCTCGGACGTAAAAAGCAAAATAAGAAGTTTTTTTTTTTTTTATCAAGCTTTGCTTGAAATCAATGTAAGAGAGATTAAAGAGAGATGTTAAACACTGGGAAAGATCATGTTCCGTCTACCGGATGGTACTTTATAGTATAAGGTTTGTAATCTGCTTTCTCGGTCTAATCTTTCTTTAGTGCATGCGCCGTCTTAGCTGTTTACTTGATTCAACTGTTCCTCTTGTGTCAGTCTAAGGTGCTAAGCAAGTGTTAAAATTTTCGTTGGGTCGCAACGGCTTCTGGGAATAAAATGTAATCAGTTGTTATTATTATTATCATTTTGTTGTTATTATTATTATTATTATTATTATTATTATTATTATCATTAGTTCTTATTAACCGAGCGGGAGGTCTGTATGGAAGAATCTTGACCGAAGCCGCCAGTACAGACCGAACGCAGTTAGGTCTGTACCAGCGATCGAGGTCAAGATTCTCCCATACAGACCGACCTTGCTCGGTTAATAAGATGTCGAACATGTGATTTCGGGCCTCATTTAGTTAAGCTTCGGTGCAGGGGCAAACATTTTTATGAAGGCTGAAGGGCTTTCGACGGAATCCTCTTTATCTCCCTTCAGAAGGACTTCAAGGGAGGTGTCCATTTCATCGTTCAGTTAAGTAGGCTGTGTTTACTTGAATTAAGCGCAGTTAATCGCTATAACAAGTCATACAGACTAATCACGTGGTGGTGGGTGAACATCACGTGTACGCGTCAAAGATTAGTTCCACTGTGCGGCTCAAGGCAAATTACAGTGGTGCCAACGACGAGCCCTAAACGCGCTTCTTGTAATACTTTCAATCGGGATGACATACTATCAGTCAGCTCGTTGTGTTGCTCACCGAGACAGCCACAGTGAAAACATTATTATTTGACTTTCCCAGTTGTTGCTAGTTTGTGTGGCCAGGTTGTCACCTCTCTGGCTGTGTATGGAAGGGATGTACAGTTCTGGCTTTGTCAGCATGGGTCATGATACTTACTCGGCGGGAGTGTTATTACCCTGTGCCATTCATGTACCATTTGAGCTGTTGCAACTTTTGTAGGCCTATAACTACCTTGTGGTGTTTTAGATAACTTATTTGTGCCAGATTGTTTTATAATGTCATCTCTCTTCCTTTTATTTTATTTATGGTTTAACTTTTCTTTTATTTATGGTTTAACTCTTAGGATTCCAAAATTGTCTCGTGGCTGAGCAGTAGGCTGATAAAATGTTGATAATAAGAGCTTTACTTTTGGTGCAATTCTTAATAACCAGATTACTTTTGGATTTGTGCTTTCATCAGAATGCCACCTAACAGAGGACAACCCTATGCCGAGAGAGTAAGCAAGAGGCGTCGTGCCGCCAACAGCAGTGCCACTTCAGACTCAGTGGTGCAGCCACATGATCGCAGCTTCAGCCAGTCGACTTGCACGAACCTCCACACGCTGCCCTGGCAACATCACAGCTCACCCTTACGCCAGACGTACTGGCAGCACCGACCACATCCATTTCAAAAGTGATCTCAGAAACACTTCTTAATGTTGCACAACCCCGGCATTCTGCAGCAGCGCCAGCAATCCCGGAAGTGCAGTTTGTTCCAGATCTCGGTTCAACTTCAAGTACAGCAGGGAACAGAGGTTCAGGTATTATAAATGATAACCCCACCACTATCAATGTTGACCAAGCGGTAATCCACATTGTCAACAATGCAGTACAACAGGTTACAAGTTCTTTACTACCTGGTGCAGCACCTCAAAGTAAAAACACTTTTTTGTCCACTGCAGTGCCATTGACACACCGCGTACCTGATTAGGTAAAAAAACAAATATGGTCCAACGAGTATGTAGACTTTTCACTATTGCTAAATAGTAGCTTTACTCAGTCAGAAGATCATTATACCTTCAGGATAGAGAAAGGTGAAGGTGGCACTCCAGCTTCAGTTTTAGCACCTAGTCCTAAGCGGCAGACTGTTCAGTCGATTGAACAATGGGTCTCGGCCTTTCACGTGTTTGTAGCCTTTCACGTGTTTGTATTCAGAAAAAGCCCCTTACGATACCCCAGCCCTAGCCTCATGAAGTATGGGTCAGTAATTAGAGAATTAGCCTCTCAGAGAGCCAATTGGAAGCTCTTTGATGAGAACTTTCGGAGCATTAGGCAGACGCAGGGTGCTCCTTGGGACCAAATTCACTCTGAGCTTTGGCTTAGGTCTCAATCCTTTCGTACGTCCCAAACTTAGTACCCAGCCAGGAAAAAGTAAACAACGGGGATCATTAATCCCAAAGGGATTTTGTTGGAAGTTCCACAAAGGAATCGCATGCCCAGGATGTTCTTACAAACACCAGTGTTTTAGGTGTGGAAATGGCCACCCAATTTCCGAATGCCAACAAGCCCCCAAACAGCCTATGGGACATACCGGGACCAATCCAACTTCCCTCCGAAGCACTCCCAACTCCGGTCAAAGTTAAGAGCTTAACAAAGTACTTATCGGGGTACCCAGAGAAGCTGCGTAATTATTTATTAAGTGGTTTTTTACATTATTATGGCCCCATAGAGAGCAGGTTTTCCAATAATCTCGTCTCAGTATCTGAGCACCCAGATCAGGTTTACAAAAACTTAACTAAAGAGACCCAAGAAGGTCGTATAATGGGACCTTTTTCAGAACCCCCATTGCTTAACCTTAGAATATCTCCCTTGGGGGTCATACCCAAGAGAGCACAAGGTGAATTTAGAATGATTCACCATCTTTCCTTCCCCTTTGGTGGGTCAGTTAATGATTTTATTCCACAAGAGTTTTGTTCAGTACACTATGCTAAGGTCCATGATGCAATTCGGCTTATCAAACATTTAGGCAGAGGTTGTACTATTACTAAGACGGATGTCCGGAGTGCTTTCCGCCATTATCCCAATACACCCCTCAGAATATCACTTACTGGGAATGCAATGGGAACGGAACTATTATGTCAACCGCTGCCTCCCCATGGGTTTTGCTAGTTCCTGAAAGATCTTTGAGGCCCTCAGTATCGCAATGGAGTGGGTAGCTCGCAACAAATTAGCGATACCTAACATCTTGCATATTCTGGATGACTTTTTGATTCTTGAAAAATCCCATGAAATTTTTGATGCTAGCCTTCAAAGATTTTTGCAATTTTGTGACGACATTGGTGTTCACATGGCTCCAGATAAAACAGAAGGCCCTAGTCCAGTATTAACTTTTGCAGACATTGAATTAGATTGTTCAGACATGGAGGCCAGGCTTCCCAAAGAAAAAGTTGACAAAACCTTGGACGCAATTCGCTCTTCTACCCAAGAAAAGAGTACAACTGAAAGAACTCCAATCCCTTATAGGTCTCCTGAATTTTGCCTGCTCGGTAATTACCTCTGGCCGAGTTTTTATCAGGCGCCTTATAAATCTCAACTTAGGTATCAAGCATGCGCACCACAGAATTCGATTAACTTTGGAAACAAAAAAGGATCTAAGAATCTGGGAAACTTTCTTAGAATCCTTCAACGGAAAGTATTTTTTCTTAGAAGAAGCCTGGTCAACCTCTCATAACTTGCAATTTTTCACGGATTCTGCGTAGTCTAAAGGGTATCGAATTGTTTTTGGCAAGCATTGGGCTTATGGTACATGGCCAGACCCATAGAAGGCATATAATATCTGTTTTTTTTAGTTTTTTCCGATTGTCGTAGCCCTCAGCACATGGTCTATTGAACTGAGAAACAGGTGGGTCCTCTTTTTTAGTAACAACGAAAGTGTAGTTCATGTTATTAATAAGGAAACAACGAAGAACACCAAGATGCTGGTGTTGTTGCGCACAATGGTTCTGATTTGCCTGAGAAACAATATCCTCTTTAGGCGCGTCATATTTAAGGAACTAAGAATGTGTTGGCTGATAGTTCATCTCGTTTACAGGTCGACAAATTCCGAACAGTGTCACAGGGCATGGACTCAACACCAACCCCGCTGTCATCACACCTTCTACCCGAGAACTGGGAGATAGGCTAGCCAAGTTATTAGAAGCTAGTCTGGGTGTAACATCTAGGTTTGTGTACCATCGCCCCTGGCAGATTTTGCAACAATTTGTAAGGGATCACCTAGGGCTCCAAATTCCAGTTTTTCCTCTTTCCGAACATACTTTAGCCTTGTTTATCGCCTTTTTAGCTGAAAAAGCATATGCAGCCTCTACAGTAGTTAGTTACATCTCGGCATTAAGTTTTTCCCANAATAGTTATAATAGATATTTACTCGTTAAATATTTTGAATTGGTCATCGTTTAACTTCGTCCAATTAGAAAAGGGCAATCAACGTGATGGTTTCTGGCTGGCACATGAGAATCTTGCTACGCATTCCAGACGCTAAAATACTGTGGGATTTTGATTTTCTTCAAGGGCTAACTTGATTTGATATTAAAAATAAACGGCCACTCAACTGAGTGGCCAAATTACGGCAAATAAAGGTTGTCCGTTTAATTCTCCCAGCAAACCGAGCTCACCCCTAGCTATGCACAGTGTAAAACACTTGGTTATAGGCAAGTGAGCTAGAGGCATAAAAGATGTTTATTATATGACTGTGTCTTATATGCCAATATTTTATATTCTTTGTACCTTTTTTTCTAGACCGGTCTAGATGCCAGTCTAGATAGGAAAATCTAGACCGCTTTCAATATTGATTTCAGCCAATCAAACTCGTGAATTCGGTAGTTCCCAGTCCTTGTGAGACACAGCCATATAATAATTATCTTTATAATATTAGCATCGATATTATTGTTATCATTAAAATTATTATCATAGATGTGTTTGTCGTTCATCATACATATTTTATACAAATCAGTTCAGAGGCAAGGCGTGTTCTCAGTCATTTTGTTTTTGAATTTTCCAGGTAAAATAAACAACAGCTTTGTTCCTGATTGTCTGCTTGCTTATTAAAGCACAATTTGAAATTCCACATATCATGCCAGTTTTAGTTTCAACGAGAGTGGCTCACGGCTCCTCTTTAGTGAAAAACTGTTCATCAAGAGGCCTCTTTTAGGTCCCCACTGTTGAGTACTTTGATAACGCCGTTTACATGTTATTGTGACATGCGATGTCTGATCTAATGCGGGCTCAAGTAAATGTGCGAATGCCCACCTCTCATATGAGGTTGAGGTAGGGTTTCAAGTTTTACAAGACGGCTAATTTTGATACATTTTCGTATGGCGAAACACAGTTTACGAATTTGCGTGGTTTAAAAACATTGCCATCACTGGTGAATTTAATAGTTCCAACTTTATTTCTCCAATAATCTAGCAAATATTTGTTATTCGACTGTAAGCAAACATTTGCCTTTCTTTCAGGACGTTAATCACATTTTATAAGTTAGCGTATATAGACTGCATAACTGAGATTTTAAAGCCTTTGTTATTAGATCATAATGGTATGTATCATCTTGCATCAGAGTGTCAAATAGGAGATAGAACTTCACTTCCTACGCGTGCGCACTCGGCTGTCGTCTCCATTCTGCAGGATAGTTTCAGGATCAGTGAGGTCAGCCTCTCTTTTATGAGCCTCTTTTTCAATCCGGTAATATCTGCAGGGATAGCGTTGTAGAACCTTTCGAGAATAAAAACAGACGGATAGTTGAAAAAGAGAAAAATCATTCGAACGTGATTATAAAGCGGTTTCCGGTTGAGCCACGTGATCAGGAAAAAATTCAATTTCATAACGAAGAGTAATACTTGTACAATGAAATATATGAAGTTCATATATTTTGAACTGCGGTATTAGATACATATGATACACGATCCTCGCAGTAGATAGCGCTATTTAAGCAATAGCG